AGCGCGCCGCCTCACGCGGTTCAGTAGTTGTTTCACAGCCGTGTAAACAGGGCCACAGGCACTCCTGTGGAAACAGGAGACTGCAAACACCGAGTCCACCAGGATATGTGTTGCTTTAAGAGAGCTTTACTACTTCAACCAAACAAGTTGTATCTGAACCCTGAATGAAACTCATAGTCTTCGGGGGAGGGGGCAATCTACCACATCAGTTAATGGTTCTGTGCATGAAGTCTCAAAACAATGGGCTACTGTAGACATGAGAGCAAATCTCCTCTAAACATGTCTGGTGGGGGCACATTTGCCTGTCTATTACTCCAGACTGTCACCACATCCTTTGAGGTGCTACACACTGTAAACATTTTTACAACTCTGAGTGGATGTCGGGAGAATTTCTAAGGTCATACAGCTCAGGTAGCTTGCATCAGTGCCATCTCTGACTTACACGACCATGCCACGCCTTGATGGCAAGTCACGTGTTTGCTTGGATGTGGGTGGACACGAGGCGGCTGCTTTGATGATTGGGAGGTGGTGGAGAGCAGGGATGACAGCCCAGTGTGTTCTTTTAACTACAGCCTGAGCTTTTTGCCACCATAAAGGTCAGTGCCTCGACATCTGCTGCTCTCTATGAACCCTCTCCTTTCATGGAGGGAAGCTGGGAAGAAGAGAGGACCCCAGGGAATGAACGCAAGAGCGTGCACACTTTTTTCTCTGTATGTAAAAGTCTCCTCATCTCACACACACACACACACATAAACGCTCAACCCACACGCTCACCATGACAAATACACAAACACATTTGTGTTGTGTCAGAGATAGGGTTCAGAGCTTTTGGACTGAGAGACTCAATCATTTCTTTTCCTTTTTGTTATTTTTTTGGCAGAGGGACAGAAAGGACATGAGAGGGTGAGAGGGGGGGCTAAATGGAGTCCTCTCCCTTGAGGCCTCCGCAAAAGCCATGCCGTGCTGAAATAAGCAATTCACACTTTTATCATTCTAGGTGAACAGGTCTGCTCTGTGTCAGATCACAGTGTCTCTGTCAGCCACAAGAGGTAAAAAAAACAACACTGTTGTTTCTTTATTACTCACAACTTCTAACCTTTATTGGGGATATTTATCTGGGTAATTTTCTAGTTTGTGTGAATTACACAACCTGTATTGATTTAGACAAGGAGCTAACATTGACATATAGTTGAAATATACTTTCGGTCAACTGTCTGTCAATCCAAGCTCCATCTCTTTAGATCATTTGTATTGCATCAAGGAATAAATGAAGTAATTTTTTAAAAGATTAGAAGATTAAAAGATAATCGCACTCATAAAATTATTGTAAATAATTGTAAATACAGCAGCGAACACTATTGCGGTGTGCTGGGCCTCGCCCCTCAACATAAACATTATTTTCACCTTTATGAGTCTCTGCTCATCTCTAAAGCCAGAACATGTCAACAGACTGGTCTACGTTTCTCATCAATTGTTGAGGTGCCTGTTGCCTGATTGTGCCCACAACAAGCTCATTTGAACATAAAAAATAAAATAAAAGTAATAATAATAAACAGTATTTAATAATATACAGTATAATCACTGTCAAGTGCAATAAAAGCTAATTCCCACATTAATGAATAAATTCAATTACCATATGAATCGAAATAATCCTGAGTATGATTTTTGTTATAATCGAGCCGAAAACCGCAAAACATTTTCGGTTTTTGACTGAAAGTCTTTTATCACCGAAACAACTTGGCAAAACAGCAAGTTGTTCCAGCAAGTTGCAAGCAAAAACTACAAACAGCACAGGCTTCCCTGATATCCGAAATTTTCTTTTTGATTAAGCAAAACCACGTTAGAGATATCTGCAATACATATCCAACATGTCTGCGGTGTGGACGTACCCTGCACTTGTCACTAAAATACTTGATACTTGATGTTATAACAATCATTACACACGAAAAATGACCCGAGGCGCGATGGACATGGAGAACCTGCTTGAAGACGGAGAAGCTCACAGCGCAGGAGAAGTAGAGCAGTGTGCCAGATGAGGGGCAGGCACCCTCGTGGTCTGACATGTTCTGTGAGATCCTGCAAGACAGTGCCTCAAATAATAATAGGTGGGCTGTTCTGTTCCGACTTCCTATGTGACTATTACTTTAGTAGTTAATTTTATTTCTCTGCTAGACATTTGACAATTAATTATTTTAACAATTATTATTATTAATTTATCCAATTGCAGTGTCTTGATTTTATTTACACAGTCCTAGTCATAAATGCAATGGTACTAATAATTGGCATCATAATTTCTTCCGGTGTTTCGGTTTTCGGCCTTGGTTTCCTCATTTTTGGTTTTTGATTTCAACCAACAATTTTTATTTTAGTGTATTACTAGATAACACATCTTGAATCTTAGCAAGAAAGCCCAAAATTTTGTAAAAATAACTATGTTTGAAGGATCAAAATGTATACCACCTTTCACAACTTCAGGTAATACTTAAAAAAAAAAAAGCCTATATAGTTGTGTATTGTAACTATTGTATGTTTTATTGCAATCCTTAAAAGTTGTAGGTCCCGTTCAAATACACGTATGCCTAAACACTGAACACAATAAAACATAAAAACCAGAATGTCACAACTGACACCAAGCAAATGTAACAAAAGGGGTCACTTGACCACCCTTGACCATGACCCAACATTGTGGACAATTTAAACTATATAAAAGTGATTTTATATCAATTTAAATAATTTAATTTAATTTAATACAAACACTCCTAATTAATCTCAAAGACAGGATACAAACAGACAGCCCATCAGTTATCACTGCTCTGTCATTGCACCATTAACAACCCTCTGGTTTTGTGGGCCCGCCACGTAAATCCACAACCATTCAAGAGTACACAGAGATACAGGGGCTGTGGTCAGCCTCTCTGATGAGTCCAACCGTCACTGTGGACATAGCCTGACATCAGCTACCCCCCAAAAAGACCCTGTATGACAGCCTAATTTTCTGTTAAACCTCTCTAGCAAGAACACACCCAATTCAACACAAAAAAAGACACACAGACAAACAGAGACCCCCACCTCTCTTCCCCCTCTGCAAAACACACATGAATGTAGAGATATCATCTGGACAGGTGGCCAACCACCCAGACCTGACCCGCCTGCCCTCTGCCTCCTCCTCCTACAAAACACCCACCCATCGACTTAACTGAAATCAGTAGCTCGAAAGTCCCAAATGAACAGACAAACTAAACAGCCCCCCTCTCTCACATCCACCTCCCCTTCTGCAGACACAGTAGAAAAAGTCTGTCACCCACTGAGCTGTCTTTGGGGATTACTGCCTGAACAGGAAGAAAATAGGTCTGCTTCCAGCCAATCAGACGGAGCACACATGTAGCAGGGCTGGTAAAGAACATACACTTATATTCAAATCATGATTAGAGCATTAGAAAAACAGAATGAAAAACCAGCAGGTAAAGCATGTTTAGCAATACAAGGATTGAATTGTAGAATTTATTGACATTTTCAGTGATCCTATTAAGTCAAGTTTTAGGCTTGGGAACACTACAAAACTACACACTGCAGACCGGTGACAGCAGATATTTGTATGACAACTGAGACTGAAATCACACACTTGACCAATGTGTCTCATGAGGGACACATGGTTTGTCACAATAAATAAAGAAATAAACTCTTGCCAAAATGGTAAATAAAAGTTGTGATGTCCAACAAAACTTTTTACTTTTACTCAAATCTAACGACTGCTCTCCAGGCCAGTTTGTAGAGGTGGTCTGGAGCCAGCTACAAATAAAACCCAGAGTGGTTTGTTTTGGTTGTTAATGTTTTTAAACAGAGCTAGTCTGAAACACAACCCAAATGGATGTATATTAAAAAATTTAACTTTGGACATTACTTTGAAATTAACCTTAAAATATGAGTGCATTTAGACATGAACTTGACTCAACTTGTACTTATATATATATATATATATAAATATTTATATAGTACCTATATAATTAAAATATTTAAATATGTTTACAGGTGTGTCGGATCACTACGGTTTAATCTAATGACAATGACACAACATGGAGTTATCTGACAACAGTGGTATTTGTTAAAACCAACCCGACTCCTACGCTAATGTCGACCTCAGGTGCACTGTGTTAGGACTGTTTTATCACCAGTGTGTTTGCACAGTTCAGGGGCAGTTCTGTTGATGTCGTAAATAATACTGTGGGACTGATGTTATTTCAGTTACACATTGTTTACAGACAGACGATGTTTGGTACAAGACAAACACTTTTACTAGTGTTTTCTTTAAGCAAAAACGTGTTTGAGTGAGACGCGGGTTAGCCAGTATCCATTATCGGACAGCTAGCTGCGTCCCATTTCTCATTCACCAACGACGAACAGCACCGGCTAACTTAGGGCTCAGCGCGTTCTGCACACAAACGCATGGTGCGATTTATTTGTAAAAGACTGAACGGATGAACTCATTAAAATACGATTGTAAGTGTTTCTGTGTTGCTAGCGCGGTTAGCTTATAGCCCACTGTTGGATTTTGGTAATGGGTGAAAAAGAGTCGTTAGCTCAGAAACACTGCAGCAACAGTAAGTAACGTTCACGAGAGCGAGTACACACGCGAGCGCACACACACACATATACACACATTAAGACAAAGAAACGCCTCTTTTTACCAACAACTCTGGATAAAATACAACAGCGAGTGTGTGTTACGGCAAAATGAGCCGTTTTGACCGCAAATAACTTTAGAACATGACAAATAAAACCATAAAGCCTCCCGAAATCCAGAGCCCCGCTGCCAGTCCCCAAATCTCAGACTCACCCTGTCACAACAGGCGCCATCTTCCACAAACTCTCACCAAAACTCCAATACTCGCGATATCCCTTCGTTCTCTTCTTCCTCTCCCAACGTACAACAATCCGCCGAGACAACAGAAGCAGACTGGAGGTGAAGGGACGAGGGAGACGGAGAGAAAATAGGGGGAGGGAGAGGAAGACTCAGGAGAGAGAGCGAGTGAGAGAGAAAGGGGGAGGGAGAGAGAGAAAAGGGCAGACGCCACAACAACAGGCGTGGGAAACTTACCACGTCGCGCGAGACTTTGGAAACTCTCATAATAGGCGAGCGCAGAGGGAGCGCCTCGGCTCTCGCGAGACGACACCGTCGTCAAAGCGTAGTAGTTGTTTATCTTGTGTGGCGCTTGAAACACTATGCCCACGTGTTTACCAGGCAATAAATTACAACCTATAGGGTTGGAGGAGTGGGATGCAAAGAGGCAGTGACGAAAGCTTCGGCTTACCTCTCGGACTTCCATGACACACTCGAGTGTGTACGAGTGCGTACAAGTACACGCAACGCTTACTAACACTTATAGACAAGCTAACAGCCCTGGTAGCAATTGTAATTTAGCATTCTAGTGGAACACTAAGATTCGTCATCAGGGGTTACATGTGGAGTTATTAATAGATTTTTATTTGCTTTATGTGTTTCTGGTGCTTGATCAGCACAGCAGCCATGTCAATCTTTCTATATATTCCTTCCTATATATTTATATATACAGTATATATATAGTATGTGTTTGTGTTGTATATTAAAAGTGTTTTAATTAATTTTTCTAATAAAAATAAATGGTTAAGGATTGGGCCTGAAACCTAACTTAGCCTCTGTCATTATCTGCATCCACATTCTGATAACATCTCCACCAAGTTTGCTCTACATCCTCAGCAACAACATTTCTCTGAGTCCTTAATGATCTGGGAGGGGTCAAGGAGCCGTAAACTTTCATGTAGGTCTCTGTGTCTTCTTATCTGCTGCTGCAGCCTTCATTTAAATCTGTTTGGCATCTTTGTTGAGCTCACAGATCACTTCTGCTGGGAGTGTTCCACAGCTTCAAAGAGAAAGTGAAGGTTTCTCTGAGACCACACTGGAGGCTGGTCCTCGTTGTCATGATGTGTGTGTTTGTGTGAGGTCCCGCTGTGGCTCTGTAGTACGGTAACAATCATAAAAGTACAAATAAAAAACAAATATTCTGTGGCTTTTCACATTGAATCTGAAGTAAACTTCATTCCCTGACATTTGTGGCCGGTCTGTTCAGAGAAACTGGTCAGCATTTTTTAAGAATCGGTTCATTCCCTGTGGGAAATGGTCATTTTGGGTTTTCTGCAGTTCAAACTAACACACACACACTTCAGCATCATCGCTGCAATGAGATCATGTTTAATAGAATTTCTGCGGAACAAGGAATGTCAAAAATCTGAGATGTTTGAAGTACCATTCCAGGAGCTTTTCCACTGCACAGTACAAGGACCGATTAAGACCAGGAAGATTGTAATAACAGGGTTCTTTTTTTGCAATGGTCTGGTTTTGTAAATTAGTCTTCTCAAGGTGGAAAACATCCCTATTCCAAATGCACTGCTTTTATTGGACATCTAAAAAATATCAAAACACCTGGTTTAAAAGTTTGTCCAAGGAGTAAAAAGTTACATATGTAAATTTAGAAAAATGTTAGCTAGGTAGGCCAAAAAAAAAAACTGGCATAGTGCCCAACTTGGCTAAAACAAATTGCAAAGTACTAGCATGTACTAAAATTGTAAAATAGTAAAAAAAATAATCACAGTTGTCATAAAATAACTAAGTATGAGAGGAGTAGCAAGTTAAATAAAAAGTAAAGTATCAGTAAGTTAGCCAAAAAAGTAGCAACGTAGCTAAAACAAATGGCAAACTAGCAGCAAACTAAATAATAGGTAAATAATAATGGCTAAGCCAGGTTACTAACAATAATGTTGATTTAATAATGTGTAGCTAAAACGTAAGAAAATATCAAGGATTAAAATGTCCTTTTATGCAAATTATTCTTCCAGAGGTTGAAAAACTTGGAGCTAACTTGGAGCTAACCGCTCTCCCCCACAAAATGCTCACACACTGGGAATTAAAGGAAAGCATGATATGTTTCCAGATCCATCTGCATTTTAGTGAAGGTGTGAACAGACGGAGGGGGAAACTGGTCGACATGCAGGCTTTCAGCAGGGGATGAACTGATGGGGGGGCTTTAGAAACGCAGGTGCCTTAATTGTCCCCTCATAAAGACCCGGCTAGTGGGCACGGGAGCTTTGAATGGGAGGCTGCTGCAGGAAAGAGGAAACGAAAATGGCAGATGAATGAGGAGGCACGTGAACAAGTGAGTGAATGAGTGAGTGACTGAGTGAGTGAGTGAAGAGACCAATGGCTGCAAGATGTGGGGGAAGAAAAGAAGGAAGATCAGGAGGTTCTGTGAAACAAGAAAGATAGATGAGGAAGAACGAGACTACAAACCTATTTTTTTAACAGAGTAATTCTCATAATACCTCTTGATAAATGATAAATTTCCAGCATTAAGTTTATTTTTAATCATTGTTCTTGTAAACACTGATGAATGTCATGGGAAAGCAAAAACTACAGTCTTACAAATAAAAATCTAAACCTCAACCTAACAGATAAAGGGATAACCTGATTTTTTTTTTTTGTGTGGGACAGACTGGAATGGAAACCTCTGCTGAATGAGAATTTAAACACTGTCCAGTCTCTGGCTCTCCAGAGGGGTGTGGTAGGACTCTGGGTTCTGGGTTCGATACCAACAATTACCCAAATCAGATGGAGAAGGGCATTAGTTTTAAACCTGCTGTGGTGACCACTAATGAAGGACACACCAACTCTACCGTTAATGTGGGGACCTTAAGCAGGTGCTCACTAAGTGAAAAAGTATTTTGAAAATAAAGATTTGGTTTGGAGTTAGGATTAGAATTAGATGAGTTGAACAGATCATTTAGTTAGGGTGTGGATTAAGATTACACAGCAGTATCATGTAATATATGGTCCGGGTTAGGGAAATCTATTATCTTATTAGGAAATCTATGTAAAGTGCTTACAACACAAAAACCTGACTGTCTGTGTGAGCACTCTTGGTGGGGGGTGTGGGGGATGTNCAAATTCAAACCCAGGTCCAGCAGGTTGGGCCCCGGAGCTCCGGCCCTGCCGTGGTGGGGCTCCTTTTGTAATGTATATCAAGTTCACCGAGGTCTTTTCATCTGACAGGTCATTGTTAGGGGACGCAGGCCAGTCGCTGCTACACGCCCTGCTTAGCCACACCCACCCACCGACACGGGAGCAGGTTGGGCTGTGATTGTTTTATGGAAATGCAGCTGGGCCTGGACGGGTGTCTGCCAGGCGAGGACGGAGGAAAGGAGGAGGAGGAGTGTGTGTGTGTGTGTGTGTGTAAGCTAGATGTGACGCCGACCCCAGCAAACGCCCCTGACCCTGAGCAGATGGTGAGTTAGGTCCTCTCTCCACTGAGCCAGAATTAATAGCGTGTGCCATGTCATATTGTCTGAAAGCACTCTGACTCTGACTCACCTCCTCCTCCCCCTTCCTCCTCTCTCACTTCTATCCTATTTCTGCCTCCTTCTCCTCTTTTTTCTTCCATCATCCCCTCCCACCTACATTCTCTTTTGTGTCCAAACTTTTATTCAAGAACTAAAAGATAACCCAGTTACAGTTAAAGGTCAGGACAGACATTGAGGTAAAATGGACAAAGTAACAAACAGTCATCTTAACATTGAAATGTTAAATGATAGCCCAGAAACAATAGCTAAATGTCTGACTCAATGCTTAAGAAAAACAGACAAAGGATAAATAAACACAAATACTGAATGTTAAATGTTAGTTAAAAAGCCAGAATAGCTAACAACTAGCTATAGCATAAATCTGGAAACATTCTCCATATCAGAATAAGTCTATTGAACATAAGGGGGAATTGTTTGGCATTAAAAAACACTCTGTTTCACACTGATGAAAATTAGCAAAGTATCTGAAGATACTTAAACTAAGATACAAAGAGAATATCAATATGAACAGGAGCCAAGAAAAACAAATAATTAGCGGTGAATATAGTGAGTATAAGGAAAGAAAGGCATAAAGCTAACCATAAATAATCGGTAAAGGTAAAACAACAATTAAAGATTTGACAAAATACTATAGAATAACGAGCCATATAATAAAGATAGAAGCAGGTTCAGCTTCATACTCATGTTATAATTGTAGCACAATTTTAATCCAACATAAAATATTAGCATAAAAGAATTGAAGGCTTTAAGTAAACCATACAGTGATGTGTACTAGGTGTTGTGAAGACAAAAATGTCGCCAGTCGGACACAGAGACCCTTTTATTTTCCCAGAATGCCTTTGCGTGCAGAAGGTCACAAAGCTATAGAGGTTGGCTTCTTAGTTCTGATCCCTAAGACCAAGATTAGAACTAAGAGAACAGATCAGACGTCTGGAGGAGGTACCACCGTGTCAGGACACCACTTCCTGTCTGACTCCCTCGCTCCCGTCCTCCCCCTTTCCTCCCCTCCTCCAACGTCATTCTGCAGACCCCCACCATCCATCCACTCCTCTTTTTGACCTTCTCCTTCTCCCTGTTTGCTTTTATCAAGCAGACATGTAAATGGGTGAGGAGTTTAAGCACCTTCTGCCACCCAGACTCCCCCCCCCCCCCCCCCCACACACACACACACACACTCACCTCCTGCTCCTCCTCCTTCAGGATAAATCCCTTAATCTGCTCTAGGTCACGTCTGGAGGGCAAAATAAACAAATAGGACCCCCCTACACACACACACTCCACTGTTCACCTCCTCATGAGAGCCCCCCCCACCCCGAACATGACATTACTGACAGGAGAAGCTGATGTCCAACCTCTCAAGGTTAATGAAGTGAAGATTTGGTCATGGAATAAAAAAAAACAGTTGCTCAGGGTCAAAATATCTGGTTTGAGTTTTTAGGGACTGAAAATCACAACATCCTGTTCCAGGGCCCAAACCAGGTACCATCTTAAACCTGTTAACCACATTTTTATAGGCGGACTAAACTGGTATGAAGCTCTGAAAGTTGAAGAGAACAGGTCGGGTCCTGATCTGATACAAATGCTCTATTTATTTAAATGCTAATATCTAAGCAGAACTGGGCTAAAGGCGTTCCTCAGGGTTCTTCGTTTTTCATTGAATTCAAATTCACTCTTATTCCATGAATCATGACATAGTGTTAAAACAGTTATACTTCCTCAGTTTTGTGCACATCTTTGGTCTGTTGACACTGACTTTACTGACTGAAATATTTGAATTTTCTCCTGCACATGCCTTGGATGGTCTGACCATTAAACCTAAAGTGTGTCTGTGTCCAGACGGAGGAAAAGGGTCAGTTCTGCAGTAGGTCAAATGTCAAAGGTCAGACGCCCTCGTGGAGCAGCTAGTTGTTTGGCTCATCACCTTCAAGAAATATGTGGAAATATAGGAAAAGGACTGAACACTAACGTCTACTTCAAACTGTCACAGAATTCGAGTCAGGCGAGTGCAAAGTCAGATCAGAACCATTTCACCAGACCCAGTAGTTCTGACTTGACCCCGTCTCTCAGGTTTCCTCCGCCCTCGCAACATTTCTACCTCCTAGTAAAA